CCAATCGAGATGACACTCACCCTCCCATGAGCATGGTGAAGACCATGAGAGCAGAGGGGGAACTGATATCCCTGGATGACGAATCTGAAGAAAGACAGCTGTGCATTAGGCTCGATCCTGTACAGGAAAGTATTCTTTACCACACTCCGCGCTAATCGTCATCACCTTGACCAGTAGTAGATAATAGCAAAGATGAACGACGAGCCCAACAGTGGCATGCCAGATGGGTAGTTGAGGAATACGGACAAAACTGCTATGAGGAAGGTCACAACGACCGAGAAGTACCTGGGGCACCGTGGTAAACGACAACGAACACCGTTTGCCTTACGCATAGTCGCCCGGCATTGCGCTGAATCGATCCGAGCGCTCGAGCTTGCTCCCGAATGAAGTGAAGAAGTACAGCTGAATAGGAATGCGCAGTGTGAGTTATACACTGGTTCGGTACTCACTTGCATGACGAAGTTGAAACTGAATTTGCCTAGAAAGAGCACGCTGGTGAAGACCCTCCAAAAATTCAGTTTCTGGTAGACTAGTCGCCAATCCAATATAATCAGCATTGGGTTCAGCAACCTGAGATGAGATACGAGACTTGATCGGAACAGGAGTGGTACCCCATCTGGACCAGGCAAGTGGTGATGAACATCGTGGTGAAGATAGCACGGGTCACTATGGGCAGGCCGCGGTACCAACCTTCGGGCGTATTATCCATGTTACGATGAAAAACTGGCCAGGGAATCACATATTTGTGCAGGAACGCAACATACAGGTCATACTGTAGGAAAACTGCATTACTCCGAGGCTTTCCTACGAAGACCCAAACGTGGAAATTTAAAATTTCCGTAATTTTTTTCACATTTTCAGACTAGACAGTAGCACATTTCCCGAGAAAACGCCTGTATGAATTCTTATTGTGCAAATAGTGAGCCGTAGCAGTATGTGCACAATGGAATATATGCTATACTATGGTGCGAAGGGTTGGAAAACTGCGCTCTGATTTTGGTCACGCGATTGAGTGGTAAAAGTCAATCCCTGTACGACCTAGGGGATGCCTCCTCGACTATCTCATACCAGACCTGGTCCGATAAGTAGGAAAGCTCCCACGTCAAACTGCATGGACAAATCGAGCTCTACCGTAGTTACCATTGCCACGTTAGTGCCGTGGAGTTACCATTACATATCACCCCACTGTGTACAATATAAGAACGAGCCAGAGTCCATGGTATTCTCAATAGCATACCCTATCCCCTTGTCACTCAGATCCTATCTTGATCGGATTCCCACACCGGCGCCCTAGTACTCAAGTCGGTGCCGAACTTCCGAGACCGAGCTGATATCACTTCAACTTCAATTATTCAAATTAAAACTTAAATTAGGGGAAATTGACTCAGTTCGAGTTCTTAGCAAGATCGATGGATCGCACTTCAATCTATGAACTCTCGGATGAAGAACTCAGAGGGTCGGATCACAAGCCTCGTCAAATCATCCGACAGTGAAAGGATATCGCGCCCGCCTCGGTATCTATGAATGTACGCATAAACATATGTCGTATCCTTTGCTGTGCACTACGAGGGTTTATCTCGCGTATTCAACAATTTGCTTCTCGAGCTCGAGCTACAGTGATCTTCCGGGCGAGTCTGAACCCTCGTTTGTCAGCGTGGAGCGCGGTGGTCCACAGTGATGTATTCCCGCCGGACGCCGCGTGAATAAGTAGATGTGTGCACCTGAGTGCATATTGATCAAGTAGCTTCTCTGTTTCTCCATCCCGAATCTTTGAGGATAATCTTATGATGGTATCATTCTTGTGCTTTTCCGTTCACGCCTGTTGTTGCGCCCTGTGGATAAGGGATACCAGATTGACTGTTACAGTACCTTTTGCTTTATTCCTTGGTGCCTCCATCTCCCACTCGATCTATGTGTTCCCCCACTGATAAGACTGTGTCCGATGCTCCTTTGGTCAACAGATGGAATGACTTCGACCCCCTAGAAGAAGTAAGTTGGCCTTGCCATTCAGTCTGCCAGTGCTGTTATTCAGGTTGTGGTCGGAATAGCTGATGGAAGCTGTTTTCCCCCGCACGAGCCAGCTTGCGAGTCTGAGTTTAACGATCAGTGAGTGCCTTTTGGTGGTTTTCCGTAACCAATTTGACGTAGATATACCAAGTATGGTTCGTCCATGTCCCATCCATTTTCGGAGTTCTTGCCTTGGCCCACCGGTCCGAAGTTGAAGAGTTTCATCGACCGCTGCAACGAGGAGCTCGACGGCCTCAAAGAAGTACCATCCACGACTCGATCTCGCAGAATCTTCAGCGGACCGCTTCGCCCTGTTAGGTTCTCGAGTCTGAAGGTGTTATCGTGAGACGCCCCGACCCTGCGTGCTGTGATTTCAACGTCCGCACCAAGACTCCTGATTTTGAGAGCCCGAACCAATACTGCGCTGTCTGTCCTCGTGACGTCATTTGTACGATCGGCAATGAAATTTTAGAAGCCACTATGAGCAAGAGATCTCGGTGAGGGCTACATTTGTCTCCTGTCGCTCTATCCTCTGCATCATTTTCAGTTATTTCGAGTACCGCCCTTACCGTAAACTCTGCCGTTACTACTTTGACAACGACCCCAGAATGAATTGGGTCTCGGCCCCTAAGCCTCTCATGGCAGACTCGTCTTACAATCCAGAGTTCTGGACTTGGAACGAAGAACAGAGAAAAGTGATTCAACTCGGTTTTATCCGACTCCTGTGATGTATCCACTCAGGCCAACATGCATGACTATCACTTTTGCTGTAACGAGAATGAGGTCCTCTTCGATGCCGCTGATACCCAGCTGATTGGAGATGTGATGCTCGTCCAGCACTCTATGACCACCAACTTGGCCGGCATTCGTTGGCTCAAGAGACAGTACCAGCCCAAAGGCATCACTGTGAGCGTGGCGGAGTATGGAGAGGAAAAGTTTTCTCATTTCAGGTCCGTACTCTACATTTTCCTTACGATTTGTATCCGTCGCATATCGACTGTACATTTGTCAGTGTCAGGCCTGGACTAGTAAGCCATGCGAGTAACTCTCTCTTTGCCCGCAGTAGTGTCCGTGGTAGGTTTTGACCAATCCTGATCGCCCTCCTGTTGAGGAAGAAGTCAAGTTCTTCAAGCAGAATGATTGGAGACTTGTTGACGTACTGTTCGTTCGGAAGGCTTGCTCATTTGGATGTCGTTTTGTCCAGGTTCCTATGTGGAACGGCAGCAAGGAACATCCGGTATTCTGCCAGTCATCCCGTTGGCTATCTATGAATGTCTTCTCTATCACTCCTGATAAAATTTGTGTGGAGGATGATGAGCAGGACTTAATCCGCCTCCTTGAGGGAGAATACGGCTTCGACGTTCTGGGCATTCCTTATCGTGGAGTTTTCGAATTCGGAGGTTCGTTGCACTGCTCCACTTGGGATGTGCGCCGTCGCGGCGGCAAACGTAGCTATTTCCCAGAATGGGCAGGTAGATTTGACCATTATCGTGAAGTTACACAATGAACGGTTCTATTGTATGCAGGTTGCGAGGAGGATATTGGCCTAACCAAACTCACTCAACTTCCATAAGGTTGGCTGAGAGATTAACATGAGCAAAGACTCAGAATGGAAAAGGGCGTGCTATCTTATTTAATCCTATGATTTTGACAGTCATATGACGTGTTATGTTATTGGTCAATTACGGTGGAAATCCATTCCCAAATGAAAACTACATTCTTATCCTTCACTGCTATAAGTGGTAGCAGACGATATGCTGTAACATCCAACCTCTTGCGAAACAAGCACGGTCCAGAAAAGACATGAGATAAAATTTTATGTAGCTCGCAAAAGTATATCAATTTGCGTATCACTACATGCGTACTATGACAAATTAGCGCACTAACAATGTAGAAAACGCACAACCTTATCACGTAATAATAATGCAGGTTTTTTCCGGGATCCGGAACCCGAAACGCGCTAATCAGTCACCAATTTAATGGACAATCACCGGTGTATAATAACTAGCGACGCAACACTTAGTTTGAGCGTAAACGAGTAGATAGTGTTCAGTCTTCATCCGATGATGATGCAGTGACTTGCTGCAGCTGCTCTTGAATGCCATGCAGCTCCTTCTCAACAGACTGTACATAGCTCTCACCGCCGCGAGTTTCAACCTAACAAGATGCAAATTCAGTCGCCACCAAATCAATGTACACAATAAGGTATGTCCCACCTCAGTATGATCCTTCACGTGCTTATCCATTTCCTTGATCGCTTGCTTCCTAGCTTTCTTGCTGATCTCTGAACCGTCGGCGAACGTCAGAGGCAATCCAGCATCGTCCCAGGACCCGTATCTGCGTCCACCATTGATGGAGCTCTCAATATTCTATTATACTACTTCGATTCGTCTCTGAGGAACTCAGCAGGGTCTACCAGAGCCTTCGTCCACCGCTGAAGTTCTTTCGTCTTCTCTTGAACTTTAGTCTCCAACTTGCGCCTCTCCTTCATACGGGCCTCACGTTTCTTCTGGGCTTTCTTCGCCTCGATCTCGCGCTTCAACGCTATCGGATCCTCCAGCGACCACACACTGAAACACAGAAATCAGTTCCCCCGACTCAGCCGATGTCTACGGCCCGTAGACGATCCATCACCTGCTTCCATCTGGCTTATCTTCAAGGCGAACTCCGAGATCGACCATAGTCTCATCGCGAAGGTCATCACACATCTGCAATAGCATCTTGTTCTTGTCTGCTTGGGCCGTCGATCGCAGCTGCTCCCGGAAGGAGGCGAAAGCGGTAAGGACGTTAGAGAGAGTCTTTGACTCCTCCCCTTGAGCTCCGCTCGATAGGCCTAGGACATCCGCGTTGTCAGTAACACCGAAGATCGTTAGCATTTTTTGCACCTGAAATAACGTCACGCGCCACGAAATTGCTCTTTTCCTAGGCCTCACATATTGTGCCGCCTGCTGAATAAGAGGTGCCTTCGGATTTTCGGACTTCACCATATACGAGTTCACCGCCGTAACGATATTGTCCAGTTGAGTCATCGCCTCCGACCTTGAAGCGGAATTATCACTTCCATATAACCACAATTTCTATTACGTGTTGAAATTGTCGCACAGTGCCTCATGAACAGCGGCCATTGCAGTAGCAATTTGCTCGTTTATGGCGAAATCGAGAGACTCTTCTTCCCACCTACACATAAGTGCATAAAGCTGGCTTAATGCATTCCAATAGCGCTACTTCTGTCTGATAGAATAAGGGGGACGGGTACGAAGGAGTTCCTTCACGCGGTTGAAAAAGGAATTAAAACGAGTTTCCTGCGGGAACGAAAACATCAAATAAGGCGGAGCGAAGCAACCATCATCACCTTATCCTTCGCCTCGGCAATTGTCTGATCAGAGAAGTTGATTGGCTTGTCCCACTGCTGCAGCAAAAACATAATACGCAGCTGGCGCGCAGTGTAACTGACAAACGTGAAACCGAATCTCCTATGATCTGGTATAAAACTACAGCAATTTCCGACACATTTTGAACACTCAACCGTAGCATGTAGTTCGTTAATCACTACTCAGAATGCATACTATACAGCGGCTCTCGGCACCCACGCGTTACCTTTGCAGAGCTTGTCTAATAGTAATGAAGTTCTTCAGGCTTTTACTCATCTTAAGGCCCTTTATGTGCAAGTGACCAGCATGCAGAAAGTAGTTGACCCACTGGGCGTCTGCCGTATTGCAATCGCCACAAGAATCGCCTAAAGCCAAATACTCGAGTAAGTACCCTACAAGAGGACTTACTGAAGTGATAGGCTTCACTCTGAGCAATCTCATTATCGTGATGAGGGAACTTCAGATCAGACCCGCCACCGTGGATATCAATGTGAGCTCCCAAAACCTCACTAGCCATCACCTGACACATACTCGTCGACCCAAAACGTCGACCTGTAGGTTTGAGTCCAACTCACACTGCACTCAATGTGCCAGCCGGGACGGCCTAGACCCCAAGGTGACTCCCAGCTAGGCTCCCCGCGCTTTGAACTCTTCCACAGGGCAAAATCGTTCCTATGCCTCTTCTCAGAGCCGAAGTCCCCACCAGTGGCATTCGTCGACAAAGCACCTACACCACGCCTCGACTTAGAAATACTCAGTATAGATGTTCTTCGTCCTCACCTTCTCCTTCGGCTATCTCAGCGTCGGTCGCTCCCTTGCCGGCGGAAGGCACCAGTTTCGGATAATTGAAACCGTGGGTCTAAACGGACCAAATGCTACTACTACTAATGCTGCTACTAGGAAAGTCAGGCTAGTACCTTATATCGCTGGGTGTCGAAGTAGACAGAGCCCTTACTCTCATAAGCAATCCCACGCTGCACCCATAGTTTGAATGAACTCGACGACTTCTGGCACGTACCTACCAGAACCTCGACCACTTCCTACACACTTGTAAAGCCTCACTCTGTAATGCGAGTCATGACCGTTGGCTCCCTTATACCCAACGACTCGCAGTCTTCAAGGAACTCCTTCTCATACTTCCTATCCGATGAACAAGATCTTCATCATCAGCATACGACCATCGCCCACCCACCTAGCATGAGCGTAGAATATCTCCTTATCCTCAATAGTAGCCCCGAACTGCTCATCAAGCCAGTCAGCGAGGAGATCTCGGCAGAGAGTGATGAAACGCTGACCCTGAGCACAGACGACGAAGGCTCCTCACTCTACTTCATTAGTGACTCCGCCCTACATCAGTGGAAGGAGATGCCGAAAGCGTGTCGAATTTGAGCTTGAGAGCTTCGGCCTGCTCAACTTTCATTTCCTGTTGGGCCACAAGAGTTGCATGCTCCTCGAATTCTCGGGAAGAGGGATCGATCTGATGAACCACAACCGTGGCGAGTGACAAATACACTGCAGCCATCTCTAGTACATTCTCGGCCTTCATTTCAGTCAACTTTTGATGGGCCTTCTGTATATTCCTTTCCACTACGACTCCACAGTCTGCCTTGACCTTCTCAAGGCTGTGATGGCTACTGGAGTATCTAGTGATGTGGCATATAGTCCGACACTCCCCCGTCAAACAACTACTACTGTCGAACAAGCTCGCCCTTTCGCGCCTTTAAGATGATCTTATCGTCAATGTCAGTGATATTCATCTGGTAGAAAACACGGTACCTACACAAATCCATCACTGCTCACTCTCGAGAGCGGATTGCATACAAAACCATATCACCCTGGTATTACTGAAAGTAGTCCTCCAAGATCCTACGAATAATATCGAAGGTAAGATACGCTCGAGCGTGACCCATATGGGCCGAGTCATATACAGTGGGACCACAAACATACATGCGGACCTCCTTCCCATTGATGGGTACAAAAGGAACCTTGACCGATTATTAATACACAGCTTTTCGTGACTTCCAGTGAGTTGGATTACCTTAGTGTCTGTGAGGGAATTATGAACCCTCAGGCCCATGTCACCCAGAGTGTTGGTCTTAGGCTTGTGCCACTCAGGAAAACCGCTTGCAGAAGACATACGACTGGTTAGCCGTGACACTAAGGACAGTGTGTGGTAAAAGCTGAATGAACAAGCCACTTCAGGCGAGTTTTACGTCAGTACGAAAAGGAACTCCAAAGAAATGCCGTCCGTCATGGAAAGACCCGCGTCAAATCCACAATCATATGGCAATGGTCCCAGGTGCTTGTCTCGGAACGAAGTCGAGCCTAACTCTCGGTGTACACGATTTGGCAAGAGCGGAGGTGTAGGCTCAAAAATCGATCCGAGTTGCCTAATGTTGTCGCGTGTTGAGTACTTGAGCCTGACGGCTACGAGGTATGCATGCAGCCACAACCACTGGAATAGCAATAATACTCAATAAAAAGCTGTCCACACCCCATTCTTAGGCCTCAAGACGTTGTACTGTCCCTGTAGGACCGCGGAGCTACTTACTTCTCGCTCGCCTCATGTTGTAATGCTACGATCGATGAGATTGAACTTAACTTTCGAGTCTTAGCTATCTGTGGAGCTTCGTCAGTGTTACCTATACATCTTGCAGAAGACACACGGGATGCTGCTGAGGGCTGGAGGGGAGGAAATTATCTTCACCTTTCAACGCTTATTTGAAACATTTGAAAAACTAGCAGATCCCGTCGCTTCGCTCCGGGGGATCCTACTGTGAAATCCGGGCACTGCATCAAATCTAAGCGAGATGCATAAAAACCAAAGAAGCGCGCGCCATTGATGGAAAGTAAAGGTTGATATCCAGGTGACGACCATAACGCAAGTGAGAATCTAAACTGCAAATTCCAAAAAAACAAGAACTGCAGGTGAAAGCGGAGAAAGGGAAACCCGAAACCCCACCCGAAACCCGACGGGAAACCAGAAACCCGAACTGTTATCCAAGGCTAAGTCGAAATGCAAGTGAGAGCATGAGCTAAACTTCTTTAGAAAAGAGGCCTATTCTTTAGAAATGAGGATTTCCCCGTGAAATCCCATCGAATACGGGGTTGCGGGAGGTAGCACCGTGATTGGTCGGTCCGTCGGTATTTTCAACCGTAATGACCCAAACTGTTTGGGCCACACACGGTCCGACCACATCAGGTGCTACCAATGCCTTCAATTGATCTCGTGACCCCCACGTAGCTGCGCGAAGGGCCCACCTAAGATGGAAGCCGGACATACCTGTCCGGTTTTCCAAATGTTGGTGGGATCAGTATGAAGGCATCGCCATATTCAAGGGAATAAAAAAAATTATTCTGGCCCGTCGAGGGACCCCTCGACTCTCGTGGTTGAGCTCGGCCTCACAGCCGTACTCAATCTACGTTGTAGACCTGTATGGTCCAACTCAAGGTATGTTTCACCTTCGTTTTCCGCTTTGCAACACTCAAAAACCGTTTACGGGCGCGCGCACTTCACTTGTGTCATATGTCCTTCAAGGGTGCACCCCTCCTTGCGCGACATTTCACTCACACTACAGGACTGTTGTCCTTCCGCTCACCAGAATATTCTCCAGCGCGCCCCGAAAATGCTCGCCGCGCCCCGAAATTTCTCCTCTTGCCCCTAAAATACTCTTTTTGCCCCGAACATACTCTTGCGTGCCCCTAACTTTTCTTTCGCCAGATGCTCTCCAGGACGTCTTGCCATCGATAATAATACCTTGTATGGCATTGTATGCAGCATCATGGTTAAGCTCTCAGTCTAATTCGAAGTCGAATTATAATGTCCATGACTGATACGGTTCAAGTATACACCCAGATTCTGTAAACTAGAGAGTGGGGGAGCGTGGATGAGATTTGAGGGTTCATGTCAGCGATTGCTGAACTTTGGTGTCTCGAATATCATATTCATGGCTATTCTGACCCCTCTGGTCTGGTTTTAGTAGTGGTGTTATTGGTGATAATACTGTTGATAGTCCTTCGGTGGGGGTACGCGTGATAATAATGTTGTGGTAGATGTTTTTGTTCTTGCCGCATTTGGCAGCCTTCCTCAGACGGCAGCCTTGTGATGGCCAAGAAAGAAGGCCCTTCTTAGAAGGGTTGAAAGAATGAAATAATGATAACAAATAATAGTGGTACTTTAGATCGTATAATACTATTGTTCTTATGCATATCTTTTTAATTCTTATATTGGCATTGTCCTTCCATTCCACAGCTGACTTCTTCTTCTGTTCCACGGGATTTCAGCCGGGTAACCGTTTTGTTCCTTCTCTCAGCTTAAACTCCAATCCTGGCGGAACCTCCCGGCCACCTCAGGTGACCTCATGTCATCATTTCATACCCGTTACCTTCTCAGCCATCTACCCACCACCTTCATGCCTGCTGTCACTCGCAATCAGCTGGCCGTCTGTGCGCTGGTTGACCAAGCCTTGTGGTAAATTTCCTGGCGTGCACAGGTTGCCCTGAGTCAGGGCCCCTGACTTCAAATGTCTATGAACCTTTTCTCCAACCAGGCTCATCCCGCTCCTCGAAGAGGAACCTCTCCTCGAGTGGCTGCAAGCTCATAAGCTCTTGAGCACGCATCTATTATGCAGCTGTGGATTGCTCCGACGTTACTCCGAAACCACCAAAAGCGGCCTTCGCGTTTGGTATCTCAGATGTACCAACTCTGAGTCAGAGTCTCTGACTGTCCTGTCACTGATACTCCTGTGAAATCCGGGATATGGTCAAGAACTACTCTATCATTCGCAATGATGGTAAGCATCTTATCCCTCATCGCCGTCGGTCGACGGCCTAAGGACATCGTCTCTGAACTCGGTGTGTCCTCGCGAAGCGTAACTTGTTCGGATTCAGTGGAACTGGAACCCGGTGGTTGCAAATAGCAGGCCAGGCTTGTGTCCTCTTCAATACGTCACAGGTACAGCAATCAAACAATATACAGTGCGATGAGATGGTGGTAGGTGGTAAGCTCAATTACCACAGACGTAAACCCGTGAGGCAATCCAAGCAGCTACTTCGGGTTGAAACTCTTGCTACTTTGGACGGCAATGGCCGTGTTAGTGGTGTTGTGGCTAGGCATGTCCCTGATAGGAAAGCTACCTCTTTGGTACCTCTGATAGATGAAGTTTCCGCTCCTGGTGCTACTTTAACTACTGATGAACTGAAATCTTACCTTTTCTTAATACTTTAACTTTGCATTTTCTTCTATTCCTTTTTATTTTCTTTTATTTTTTTTTCTGTTTGTAGACAACAGTGTTAGATGGTAATGCAATAGCCGTAAATAATTATTGTTCATAATCGAGCAATGTTGGTGGTAAATCAAGGTTTCCATTCCAGAATAGATTCTGAGAACTCATTCTGAGAGCGCGATTCGTTGAACGCGTTTCGGAATCGATTCCAGAATACATGCCGGAATATTTGTGGTAGTTGTACATGGCACCACCATCACAGCAGCTGCCGTCGTCACCGCTACCATTGATCAGTCCTAGGACAGCCCTAGGTTTGACACCGTTTTCCGCCCTACCGAGGTGAGTTTATCATTAAGTGTAGTAGTTGAGTGGAAGGGTGTGTATAGATCTATGGTTGAGGGTGTTCTCCGAAGCCCAGCCCCCCGACAACGGGACCAGTTAGGCTTCTCACAAGAGGCGGCCCAACAACCCCGATAACATTTACGGTGAAGTTAACCCCATTATCTCTACATGTCTCCCTCTTCGTACGTTACCTATTTCTTTTCCATTTTGGGAGGACCTTTAAACTTCGACTATCATCACGCTTAATACTCCACTGAGCTGTGGTTGTTGACACCCCCCTCCAAAGAGGATGTATTGTTACGTTATTGTTCGTCACCTTTGCAGTAGAGCATCATTAGTAGCCTGGTTTGTTCAATTCTCAAATAATAGAGTTACCGTTTGCGTTAGCGTCCGTCTCATGACGATCATGCCTATATTACTTTTCCATACGATTTCACTCGTGGGGCTTTGCGTCGAAGTAAATGAGTCGAGAATACTATTCTCAGAATAGTATCGATAATGAGTCGACCGTTGATCTGTACGGAACTCACGCGCTCAAACACGTAGGACGTTTGTATGATAAGCATCGTGTCATGTACGTAAGACAGCAACGTTTAATCCACTGTATTAGCGATCAGTACAACACATTGCACGAGGACTTTTGCTGACCTATAGCAGTGTATTTCTCCCACAGAAATGGACAGTCAACAAACCTTCGCCCTGAACGATATTTTGAATGATATATGCAATCCTGATAGACCACGAAACAGGATGTATGTGGTAACAGGCATCGCTGGCGCCGGTAAAACTTATCATTCGTTTCACTTCGGTAAAGTCGAAGTGAAACTCGGCTGTCGTGTGTTGGTCAATATGAACTACGGCGATCTCGCGTGCAACGGAGATTTGGGTACTGTCGTATCGTTCTCGTTCGAGAATCTCGAACGTGAATGCTACGGTCGTAGCAATCGAAAGGCATTCAAGACGTGATTCGCGCATCAATGTCCGCCTAGATCGAACGGGAATTGTAATCGGTCTATACCCTCTGAAGCAAGAGGTGATCAGGCCGGACGGGACTACACTTTGCCACATACGCAATATAGGCATAGAGCTCGGAGCAGCAGTAACGTGCCATAAATCGATTAGAGTCACATTGCAGTACGTGGTAGTCGATTTGAGCCCGATGATGGGTGATAGAAACATGAGCACGGCCTCAATCCACAACTCCATGGAGTCTCGTTTGGCCCAGCCATGGCTCTTCGGAGCGGTTTATACCATGCTGTCGCGTGTTGGGTCTTCGAATCGCATATACCTTAAATTTGTTGGATCGAGCAGATTCGCCAGAAAGATTTTCTTCTCTGGAAGTGCTCGACGATTTGACAGGCTCTGTCATGAGAAAAGCCGTACATTTCTGGCGGTCAATGCGAGATTCGGCGCTCCTCGCAATATTCCCGAGGCCGCATCGTACTCATCGAATGATGATTGGAATCAAGAGCTGACAGCCTTGATGAAGAACGTATCGGATGAAGTGAAACAGACTGGTGAAGAACTCTCGAATAAAGCTGTCAACTTCATGATCAACGCGAGTGCCGCGGGGTTCTTCGCTCAAGATGGGGAATCAGGGAACGGAGAGACAAGCTCAGCTTATGATGCGATGTCAAGGGCTCGGAGAGATTCCTTCATCGACATGGCTCGCAACAACAACGAGGCATGCCGTGAGCTTCTCACCAGTCATCCCCGCTCGGCAGTGCCAATGATTTGACGTATGCGGGAGTACGAGCAAGGTGGCAACAGTGAAAATCATGATAATGATATTAGTTCGCCACGAAGTTGTACTGCCCCATCCGTGGTGATATCATCGTCTGAGAATCGCGAACCAATGCCATTCGACATACCAGACGTTTACGACACGTCTTCGCATACTCAAAACAACTCTGAAACCCCCCAACAAACTGTTGATGGATCATTCGTTTTCGTCGGAGCGGAAACAGACCCTGATAAAAGCGGAAACGGTGATTGCGATACAGATTGGCAAGCTGGATCAGAGTCTGAACCCGACTCGGATAGTGAGTCTTCGGCAGATGAGACTTGCTCAGTGGATGAAAACGATCTTGCGAATGCTCCCAATACAACAATAGACCCGAAGCATGACGATGCTAGGTGGGATGATGAGGCTTATTATACCATGGTTGGCGATATCGAATCCGTAGTCGAGAGGTACATATCCCGTAAACCATGCCTGTATCGGTCTAAGAGCAAGTCGGAGTAAAGGAATCGGCTAGTTCTGTGTTGTATGCCTGATAACTTGGCGCACCGCGTCCTTTAGACGCCTCTGTAGCTGTCCTGCTCTTGTTTCTAACTCCTCCGCATCCCTTATCTCCGTTCCCGAGTTGCACTTGTCTACTTGCTCTATGAACTTCTCCCAGTTCGTTCTCTTGAGATTTCGCCTTCCTTTCGCCGTGCGCCCATCCTGCCTGTCTCCCCTTCCGTCCCCCGGTGGTGCGAGACTGAGCCCAAGGGCTTCATGGTCGCAGGGAACGGCGAGGCCCATGACATCCGCCCCTTTTGCGCAGCATTCCGCGAGGCTTTCCCCCAAGAAGTTGCCGTCTATGGCGGAGCCCCATCTAGTATTGCGGAAGGTGTCGCGTCCCACATTGACGTTCACACATCTCAGGTTCTCCGAGTCAGCCCACCTGTCTATCTCGGCACCCCTTCTCCAGGACTCTCTGTCGTACTGGTTCCGGTGCTGTCTGCTCGGCGCTCTGGAGCACCAGCTGCCGGATTGAGCGTTAGGGTCCCCTCCCACTAGTGACCAGGGCCCCCCTTTGACTCTGCCCAGTACCTGTTCGAGTGCCTTGTCCCTCCCCAGGTAAAGGGATGTGAGCTTAATCCATCGTCCCCAACCCGGTGGTCTGACCTCAGCTGTGACGTGGTCCTCCGCTGCTGTGCCAACCTTGTAGCCTACAAGTTGTAGGGGACTCCCTGAGCAATCAGTATAGCCGCCCGCGGCCTTCTGGCGTTGGGGTCTCTCACGATGTCATAGGCCCCGCACCGCACTGGAGTTCCGGCTGGCGGTTCCTGTATAAGCACCGCTAACACGCCGGCTCTCTGAAACTCCTCCACGGCGATTGCCAGGGCTCCTGGCGACCTCATTATGTTTATGCAGCCCACCCTCATCATCCCCCTCGAAGAGCCCTGCTCGCCTGGCCCTTGTGGGCCACCTGCCGGGCAGGTCCTGCCCGCCCTTGCCCTGAATCAGGCCCGGACATTTATCTCTGGTGCCCTGCCCGGTTGCTCAAGCTCGTTCGCTGGCCCGCCGGCCTCACGAATAGCTCTCCCCGCGTCACATTTCATGTATTTCATAGAGCCATGCCCTTTGCATTTGCAGTGTCCACAGGTCCTTTGCGATGCCGGCAGGTTCCTCAGTGTGAAGTCCCTCTGTTGATGCCCAACCTGACCACACCACGCGCATCTCTCTGGTCTGTCCCCACAGCCCTCGCTTTCCGGGTGCCTCCCACCACAGACAAAACACACCCTGGTGTAGTAATGTGGTCTAACCCTCACCCTGGTGGCCCCGATATACAGGGCGTCCTTCGTACCTCCCTTCCCTAGGAACCTATTGGCAACCGCCTCTTCCATTTTGACGATGGCCGTGGCACTGATCGGCTCCCCTTGCTCATCTTTCTTCGTCCATATTTTCACAATTTCCCATGGGACCTCCTCTGGAATCCCGTTCCTTCTAACGATCTCTCTCCTCAAGCCTTGCTCACTGGCAACTTGCCAGTGGCAAGAGCGAGCGGAATGTCCGAAATGGAGAGCTCGCATGACTTTTGGGCCAGCTCTTTTGCCGACAGCCCTAGTGGCGGCCCGCCACTGGCGGGGCTCTGAGAATGTCCTGTAGGCTCCCGCGATCGCCTAGTTCAATGGCCAACCCAAACGAGGTTCTCCACATCCCAAGGATCTTCCATTGCGCTCCTTCCTCCCAGAGAGCCGTTTCCCGCATCTTTTTGAGGCAGGTGTTGTAGTCCTCGACGAGGACTACAACACGACGAGGACTCCTCGTCGTTGAGGTTCGGCCACCTTCTCCCCTCTGGGATCCCCTGAAGCCTGCTGGAGAGGGTGATGACCAGCAGATGTTTGGGGCTACCCCTCTGACTCAGAGGCTCTGAGGGGCACCTGAGCGCTTCCTCTGTCTGCTCCGGTTTTTGCGATCCACTTGTGTCCAACCAGCTCCTTCTACCTGTTGCGAATCGCGATTCGCTGCCCTGGACTCGACCCTCCTCTGGCTGGGTTGTCCGGGCGGCCTCCTTGCTGCCCCGTCAATGGGAACTAACCTTCCGCCACCATGGCATGGTGGCGGACTTGTAGGTCAGCCATAAGTCCACTCTAACCGTGCGCACGTCTGCGAGACACGTGCATCCGCGTGACGTGACGTCCGCAGTGACGTGACGTTCGCAGTGACGTGACGTTTTTTCCTGCCTCGCTGTTAAGGTTCGCCCGCCCTGTTATAGCTGTAGCTTATCGATTACGCTATTTGGTGCAATGAGCAACCATAGTTATTATGCAACCCTCTCAAGCTGTTACCTATTGCGTTCCATATGGCTAGTAACTTAACAAGTGGTGAAGAAGTTCTTCAGAAGAACCCGTGCTTCAAGAACCCTTTGCCCCACTGCTGCAAGCTCTGCAATTACGTGATCCTTCAGACCTTGAATTTGTCACTGCTGCCGACGTTACCTCAGCATTGCCACGTGAGGCCACACTTCAACAGAAGGTGGACTTACTACGCCTCCTTAAGCAAGCCCATCACTCACAGCGTGCATTAAGCTCAGTTGCCTCTGTGTCCGGTAGCTCCCCTTCTGTTATGCTCGACGCCGCTCTGGACAACGATGATGAAGATGGTAGAGCTCTTGCTGGTGTCCTTCGACTTCAACCCCCAGATTCGGCTAAGTGGAAAGGCTCCTCTGATCTACGCCCAGCGAAAGCCTTCTTATATAAGGTTGCAGCCGCTGCTCGCCTTACCGCTTTATCTGAGATCAACACGTGGAGGTTTCTCACGCAAGTATGCCTACAAGAGCGCCATACCAGAGAGCTACTAAGCTATCTAGAGGCTAATCATGGTGCTGGACTATCGATTGCCGATAAACTAAGGTTCACCGAACTATGGTTTAACCATCGCTGGAACATTACCAACAGTGTGGATCGAGTTTACCAGGAACTGGAGGCCATCAAGGTCAACGACTTCACTGATACAGAAACTCTACACAGCAGGCTTCTTAGCGCTCAGCAAGATGCGTCCTATCTAGGACATACCATTCCTCCGTCGACACTAAGGAGATCATTCCTAAAGGCCTTACCTGATGCTCTAAAAGCACCTCTGCTACAGGTTATACCGAGCCCGGACGCCCCCTTGAACGACTTGGTGAACTGGTGTGTGGCGACGGAACAAAATGCCCCAAAAAGGCGGGGTTACAGACACCAAACGCAGGGTATCCCCCGTTATGTCGATTGTTTACACAGGGACGGTGCCACTTTGGAGCTCAGTGCAAGTTCTCTCACGAAACCACAAGACCAACTGTTGCGCCGATCAGCGAGCTATGCCGCAATTATCAAGCTGGACGATGTGTCCTTGGAGAGCGATGCCGCTACCAGCACACCACAGGTGAGCACCCTAAAGAGCAGCTCAAGGAGGATACTAATCCGCCTACCTTATCTCCAGAGCCCAAGAATGCGTTAGGTGGTCTACACTCTACTGCCGGTAATCCCACTATACAAGTCACCTTCGACAACCACCCATCAACACCATTCAACGCCATTATCGACACTGGGTGTACAGACAGTATTGTCGCAGACTGGGTACTGTACCAGTTACATATGACGCCGACGCCACTAGATGTGCCTTACAGTGCCCGCTTACTAAATGGTGATAATGTAATTTATAAAGAATCGGTTGACTTATCTTGGGCCTTCGATTGGGAAGCGAACATGAAGAGGCTCTCAACATTTCTGGTATCTGCCAGTCTACCTTCGGGTTTGGCTGCTATATTTGGCCTCGACATCCAGAAGGAGCATAACTTCTTCTTCCATCCAGGTCGCTCTGAGATAGTCATTGACCAGCCCCAATGCCAACATATCTATGAGCCACCTGTCGACAAACTCAAGGTCTCCCATGCACTATTAACCCCTTGCACTGCATCATTGGATCTATGTACCAACCCAATTAGAATCGCCGACACTAAGTCGTTTTTTATCGAAGTTAGTGCCGATGATGATGACCCTACGAGGAAGGTTTTTACTGTGGATATTAAAAGTGAGGCAATGCCAGCGGTGGGACAGAAGAAGCGGAGAACCCGTAAGCAGCACCCGCTCAACAAGCCCGACCCTGCAGACCCTGGGCTGTATGAGGAAACCAAGCAGAGGTTAACCAACCTCGTTGATACTGGACGCCTGGCACTCACAGTGGAGGATGGAGACTATGGTTACCTGGCTACTACATACTACGGGGTTAGAGGAGCAAAAAGGGCACGACCAGTCTTCCCCTTAACATTGCTGAATGCCGCCATTAAGCCCTTGTTGGTTGATTGCCCTTCACTGCAAGAGTCACTCCCGACGGGAGTCTCCCGTCTATTTTGGATGCAAGCAGAGGTCTTGCTAGGTTAAGCCTCATCGATGTCAGTGACGCATTCATGAGGATCCACTGTGGGCCAAACCTGCAACGACTCCTGTGTGTATGGACTGATGGTGTACCGTATTCGTTCAGGGCAGTACCGTACGGCGCATCCTTCAGTCCATGGTGCCTCATCACTTGTATGAATTACCTTTGCAGTTCCCCACTCCTCGGCAAGTCCATCAGATTTTATATGGATGATGTAATCACCGAACAACCTGATGAAGTACGACAACTTTTTGCAGCTCACGGATTCCCCACTACCTTAGCTGACACCAACAATTCGGACATCACCCCCTATTTGGGTATCGAAACGGTGAATTATGGCAATGGTGTTCGTTATAGTGGCCGTGGTTGGCAGCAGTTTATCGACTTCAAACTCACTGGTAACCCTACTCTACGTGATGGTCTATCCTTGCTTGGCAAGGTGATGAGCTTGCCTGATTTTTTACCCTTATTCTTTTTACCAATACGTAACCTTCTACAATCTGCTATAGCACGTACTAAGCACGTGTTCGGCCTTACATGGGATTCTCCTATGCCTGAAGCATTGAGTAAACTACTCCATGCGTTTCACCAGCAATATAAGCTGGAAAAGCTACCGTTACTCAGCAGGAAAATCGATTCTGATGACGAGATCCATATCTACAGTGATGCTGGCGCTTATTGTGGCTGCTTTCGTGTCTATCAGAAACAGTCAGAGATCCTCCGGGGACAGCACACATTCACCACAAGCGAGCTATCCTTACATATTAACTGTAAGGAATTCCATATGGTTCTATTGGCCTTACAACGTATTGTCCTCCTCGAAGGCCGCTTACGGAGACCGTTCGTGCACGTGACCTTGCATATCGATAGCCGGACTGTCTTGGCGGTCCTGCGTAATCGGCGCACGCGTGTGGGCCCTGTGCAACCATATATGGACAAGACATTGAATTTGATTCAAGAACTACTTGGTGAACGCCTCTCTATGCTGGAACTGGTATATGTACCTACGGACGAGAACCCTGCCGACGCTGGGACTCGGAACGACCTTCACAAGGAGCTCACAAAGTGGCGAGATAATTTCGAAGTTGTAGGCTACAACTTGTAGCTTCTGGGAAAGATGACTCTGAGCCCACTGTCCAAGCAGTCCACGTGTGCTCCCCTATAACAACCCCTACTAAGAGGCCCAGACATATAGCGTTCACGGACGCTGACGCTTTCATAAGCCCGCCTAAGCGTCGTCGTATTTCGTCGAAGCTCCCTCACCACTTCACCTCTGAAGTGCTACAGGATAACTGCCAAGAACGACACACTCTACTCCAAAAAGGACTTATAGATGAGGATGATGACGGTGTGGCGCACCTACCGAACTCAGCTCGACTTTATGTTCCACCGGCATTCCGTTCCGACTTGATCGAACTATACCATGAGGAATACGCCCATCCATGTGGTAAGACATTGCATTCTCTACTTGCTGACAACTACTGGTGGCCGCATATGCGCAAGGAGGTCGTGACTTTCAAGTGCACGGCCTGTACTATCGGCAAGAAGTACCATGCCCCTAAAACTTGGTCTAAGCTACCGCATCCGCGCGGTAGTCTCACACACTTGGCTATAGATTTCACTGGACCCTATGAGAATACTGCTTATCCTTATGCTGTTACCATTACATGCTTACATAGCCGGTTCTTTCGGGTATATCCTATCATTTCTCCTTCTACTATTGCTGCATGCTCTGCGCTGGAAGATTGGGCGAGAAGCTATGGAATGTACCCACGAATAATTATGCATGACAATGATAAAGCCTTCCAGCTACAATTCACTTCTTGGTGCATGCAACGTAATATTGTGCAAGCTGCGGTACCTCTTCATGCACCTGAGTCCAACTCGGCTATTGAGCGTCACCATCGAACATTTCACGATGGGTTGAGAGCCTGTATTGCTTCTACTGGTGTACTGGATTGGACTGCCCATTACGACCGAGTCGTTAATCGCATTAACCATGCCCCTAATTCTACAACTAAAACTGCTCCTTATGATGTCTTATTCAAGGTTCAACATCATTGCCCCTTACGCAACGACTACAAGGCCTTGGACTCCTTTGTCTACCCTTTCCCGCCCGATCATTCCCCACGTTTTCAGCAAGGCTCGGTTGTGGCGCGCAGATCGGAGAGAGCTGGCAAGTTGGATCCTGCATATGAAGGCCATTATGAGGTTCTAGAGGAAGTTAGACCCGATGTCTTCTCTATCCGGCGTATTGGTGGTACTGGTGTCAACTCTGTCCCTATACAACTCAAAGCAGATCGCCTTAAACTATTACCAGGGTTGCCTAGAGTACAGAAATCCTAGTATGCGCATTACCTATCACATCCTACTCAGCGAGCATTACTCACTGCTTTAGGCTGTTGATACTATTTCATTGGGTTGCAGTATTATCTCGCTAATCTCTTATTCTTGAATCTCCGTCCTTCCCTTTTTTTTTCTTCTTTTCTGGTTCTCGAGGGGGGGGGGGGCAAGTGTTAAGGTTCGCCCGCCCTGTTATAGCTGTAGCTTATCGATTACGCTATTTGGTGCAATGAGCAACCATAGTTATTATGCAACCCTCTCAAGCTGTTACCTATTGCGTTCCATATGGCTAGTAACTTAACACTCGCCTTCCTTCCTTCGCTCGCTCTCATTCGCTCTTTCCAACCTTCCTCAAGGTTGTTGCGTTCTGGCAATTAACTCTCACTTACCGGCCCGGTAATACCGGGGTAGAGCGACTCTCACCATCCGCAAATCGAAGTCTGACAGACGGCGTCTGTTACAGCTAAGCGAATAGTGAAGTCAGTGAGAGACTGCCCCTCCATGAAAATCACGCAAGACCTTTTTCACGCATGCATCTCTACTAGCTATCGATACAGAAATTGCTAACGCTCGAATCAACGTGACATTATGGCCTTTATTGGTTCGAATCATAGCACTCCGGTATCAGACATGTAGCCCGGTCGGGCAGTAGTATATCAGGATGTTGCTAACATCATTAGGGTTGCTCCTCACAACATCTCCCCGATATTGGTCTGTGTTGTTTAGTAGTTTCACTTAATCTTCAGGAGGCTCTACTCTCAATAATGATGACACCCCATATGATCTGCTTGATGGCCTGTTATGTTCTGGTATTTGTGGGAGCCTTGCCTGCTGGTAGATACGTTCACGAAGGGCAGGGCTACAGATTGACCTATGTATTCACCGATTCTAGAATCGGGCTTGAGTTCGAGGTCAAAGGCCAGGCTCCCTTCGTGGACCCGCCGATCTACCCCCTGAAGCGCATCGAGGAGGCTTGGGCCGAGTCTTACTTCGTCGATTTCGAAGGCTCACCTGAGGGAGTTGATTACTTGTACCGAGGAATCAGGCATCTCTTCCCGGAAGTGGAGATTGCATCTGCCGACCTGACAAGAGTGGTGGTTTACCCATACGATTCGTCGAATTTACTTGCTAAATTCCAAGATCAAGTCGTTGATTTTTTCGCCGAATCCGCTTGAGGACCTCAAGTTCAGGCTCGGTTGCACTTTTTGTACCACATTACTTATCAGACGTCTCACGGCCCTGATGTGGCTATACATGTCATACGTCCTCTATTGTTGCGGAACCCACCGCCTTATTTTGTATGAGAGAAGCCATAGTCCCAGCTCTAGGATCAGGGTCTGATCAAAGATGTTGATGACCTCTGGGGCATTCTCGCTCGTGGTTCACGCTGTATTGCTCTCTTCGACTCGACTGAGGACCTTTTTTCTACTCAATCTCCATTATTGAGTCCATAATCTAGTTCATATTTGCGTTTAGGAGTAGAATTTATTGCAAGCAAATACATATCGTCGAGACTCGAGTCGGGAGCAAACATCGCGACTCTGGGAGAGGCATCAATCTTCACTTGACGCAAATGGCTTCATCTCGTTCGCAAATCCCAATGAACATGAAGATTGGCATGTGAAGAAAGCGATCTTCGACTTCCGCTTTTGAATCGGCGATCCACAATTGACTGAGTTCAACCGAGACGCCATATTAGCCGAGAAGCTTGTAATCCACGCTCCTCGACTCGAGATGTCTGAAGCTTGGAAGTTCAGCGGAGCCTCCTTGATTCCACCTTGGATTTTTCCGGCTTCCTTGGGAAACACAAATCTCCTTAGAAAACTTACACTCTCCTTAAATTTTTGTGGTTCACCCACCTTTTCAATCTGAAATTCAGCAATTGAAAGAACAAATTTGACGAAAGCAATTTGTTTTTCGACGAGTGAAAGGAGTTTTTCACGAAATGAAAGTTCAAATTTGAAAGGAAAGTTCGATTTTCGTAGACCGGTCAAAAATGAGAGTTCAAATTTGTAAATGAAATTTATGAACTCGGAAACGCAAGTTCAAATTCGTCGGACACGATACCAATTTCGACCAATGAAAGCTCACTTTCACCACATCTCGATATGCACTATTCAGTGAATAGTATTCACACTCCACGAGTTGACAACTCGCACAATGTTGACTACTCGAGGCACTTCTCAAATGTGAACAGTTGTTGCGCAGAGTGAGACTCACGGGTGGTTCTCCGGAACGTTGGGTCGCAATGTTCCGCTGCTCTCGTACGTTCTTTCATGGGGAAGCTCACCAGATGCTTTCCTCAACCATGATTCTGTGAGTCCCGCGTATTTGATTTCACGAAAACTCGGACAATGTAGTCGTTTCACCGCATATCTGAATAGCAGCTTCTCATAGGTCGAGACATAATCTTCGAGCAAAAGCTTTAGAACGTATTTGTTGGCCGTCCTTGGTAGACCGCAGATCACCTTATCAAGATATGTGTCGATACCATCCAACACACTCCTGACTCCTTTTTGTACCAAGGTATGTCCCCACGCTCCTAAGCCATACCCGCAAATAGATGCGAGGTGATTGCGTAGTGCTGTCACCGCCCTCTTCCTGAGCCTTCTGAAAGTGTTCCACAGGGGAGTCAGGGTGCCTCTGATCAGCTCAATCTCCTGTCTAGCTTTGGCTGCTAGGGCTTTAACATGCGGATTCCACGAACTGCCCATTCTGATCACGTACCCAAGGTACGTTATTTCCCGTTCTACTGGTATGTTCAGCAGGCTCTCCTCCTCTAGGTCTTCGGTCAGAATAACACTCTTTTCTCTGTTCATGACCAACCTATAATTTGGTAATATCTCCTCTAATTGTCGTATTAGCCAGCTCACCTTGTCGCGCAGCTCGATTTCGCTCGTCGCTTTCACCAAGATAATCGTGTCGTCAGCATAGCTGATCATCTCGTAATCGCCTACTAGCTCTCTGGCAATCGATGCATGAGCAATCCTGTAAACCGCTGGAGACGCTACTCCCCCTTGTGGAGTCCCATAAGCATAGTTCGTGAAACGAATCTCTCCTTCCTTGCCTTCTTGTCCATTCTCGTAATATATCTCACGACCATATAGATAGTCACAAAGTAGGTTGACCACAGGAGAGGGGGAAAATTCCCCGATCGCTTGTCCCACGCAACTGTGCTTGATTAGATTGAATGCATTAGACATATCAATGGATACACCAGCCATAAACATATTCTTCTTTTTCCCTTCTTCGATCAGTGCTCTCAGCGACTCTACTGCTGTCGCTGTGCTTCCTCCTTTCTTATAGCCGTGAGCATTTTCCAAATCTATCTTCAGTCTGCTACCGCTTGTAATCTCAGCTTCATATTTCTGTAACAGTTGCACTTCTAGGCACTCTAGGGCCTTGCCGAGAGTAGAGCATATGCAAATAGGCCTCAACTGCTTAAAGCGATCGACGTTGGCCCTGCCACCCTTATTTATTAGGACTATTTTTGCTATCTTACCTAATTTAGGATGATAGCCCATGGTAATCATATTGATGAAAACTTGCCGAATGCCCTCGGCCAACTCTTTGTGAGCGAACGCGAAGTCAGAGTACTTTATCCCATCGCGTCCTGGGGAGGTATCTTTCCTGCCCTGTAATCTCCTCAGAGACGCCTCCACGAAGGAATGCGAAACCATCTGCAGCACGCTCCGTGTTTCCGCCGGTGTGACGGGAACTCTGAACTCCCCCTCCCCCCTCGTCCGGCTGCTCGGGTGTGTAGAGGATGTCTCGAGGAGCTCAACGAAAGCATTCTACATCAGCAGCTTTCCTATAAACGGGAGTTGCCTTCCGCCATTTAAGGATGGATTCATGCCCTCCATCACTGGCCAAAACTTTGCTCAAATGCTCTCTCTTGTACTGTCGGAGTAGTAACCCATATTGCCGCCGTTTGTCCTTATATGCCTTTTGGTCATCGGGATGAGCTGTTCTGTGAGCCTTGCGTTGTAGTCGCCGTAGATCTCGACGGCACTCTTTTAGTTGGTGACCCCACCACGGTGCAGAGCCCGCCCTAACTACAAGTACCGCGTCGACAACAGTTGTTGTTTAGCTTTCGTAATGATTCCACTCAGTTTCGTCATCTCATGATCTATCTCCTGGCATCGCAACCTCTCCGGTACCTCCCTACTCCAGTTCTGTATCTCATCCTTGACTCGTTTTCTATATTCCTCTCAGTCTTTCGACGATTGCTGAAGGACTCTGAGAACCTTGTGGTTACCTGCGTTCACCGCCACTTGCATTGTGATGATGCGATGGTCGAAGGCAATCACATCAGTCTCAGTGCACCAGTTGAATATTCTTAGCCCGCATGATATCGAGAGATCTATGGAACTCTCCTGCAGACCTCCACGGCCAAAGCGAGTCGCTTTAAGCGACAGAAATTCCTCGCCCTTGGATCATTCTGTATGTCGTAGCCCTTAATTTGCAGCCAATTGACAATTGCTGCACCTCTCCTCCGTGAGTCAGTATGTACAGAACTCCGATTGGACCAGACACCGTCCTCGGCGTTAGCATCGCAACATAATAAAAAATTGGAATCATCACAATCATCAATTAATATGTCTAAACTATCCAACGTGCTATATATATTCTCATCCTGTGGGAAACAAGCACAGATAAATAAATTCCCATAGGCTTCCACCGCAACTATATCCTTTGCGAGTTTAGTCTGTCGCACTATTGCATCTTTTTTGACAGCTATGCAGGCTCGATTCCCACACCTCCATATGTATGATAATAGCGAGGCCACTGTGCCGACCAGTGGAAATTTTCGGGCTCACATATACATA